TCCTTAATTTCACCAAACTGTCTTACTTGTATCTTTAAATTTCTTAAAGATTTCTGACCAAGGGTTTTTCTTTTGCTTGTGGGAATATAACCTCGCAAAGGTTTCTTTTGCTTGTGGGAATAGAACTTCGCAAAGCAGTTAATTTTGCTTGTGGGAATAGAACCTCGCAAAGCAGTTAGCTACTGCTTGTGGGAATAGAACCTCGCAAAGTAGTTAGCTATTTGCTTGTGGGAATATAACCTCGCAAAGTAGTTAGCTATTTCGTTGTCGGTGGTAAGCAGTTTGTTTTTTAAACGTACTGGTTCTTTCTTGGGTGTTTCCCTGGTGTTTTGGAGGTTGCCCAGGATTTCGAAAGTGTGTTGGTTATCACTTTGATAATTGATATTTGAGATGAACTTGTCGCAGGAAGTCCGTTTAGCTGGTAAGATGGATTGCCTTAGGACAGCTGATTGTCGTCTCCAGGCTTGTACGTCTTCCGTTCTTCCAGTCTGATCAGCAGTGTTGCGAAGGACGTCCCTATTTCTTTTCAGTTCCTCAAGGTATTTAGACCAAAACACTCGATAGTGTTTAGTCTTGCCTCTGGGAATAGTTTTCTTTGCACATCGGATCATAATATTCGTGATATCATTGCAAAGTTTGTCAGGATGTTGGTTGAAGCTGAGGGGACAAAAGTTTGTCAGGATATTGGTTGAAGTTGAGGGGACTTGACTGATGTTGGTTGAAGCTGAGGGGACATGTGTGAAATTCATTCTCTAAAAGGTTTGTGAATCTAGGCCAGTCAGCCTTCTTGAAGTTCTGTGTCAGTTTAGTTAGCACTTTCGTTGTCATGCTTTTGCGGCCGATGGTAATACTAGCTATGACTGGTTTGTGACCGGAACCAGGATCGTCGATTATTTTGCGGTGTGTATACTCACTTATGTCGGTTGAAGCCAGGAGCAAGTCAGGAGTTGTTCTGGTTCCATTGCAGTGCAAATATGTATCCGAATCCTCATTGCTGTAAATAAGTTCTAGAGGGTTGCTGTTTAACATGTCTTCGATTTCCTTTCCAGCTATGTTTGTATTCTTGTAGCCCCATCTGGTGGAATGGGTGTTGAAGTCTCCTAATAATACAGTTTTGTGTGAGATGTTCAAAAAATCATAGTTGGGACTATTCTGGGGTGGATTATAGATTGCATATATCTTGAAGTGGTTGTGACATTTCCAAACATTTAATCTGATTATTTCGCATATGTCTTGCGTCGTGCTCATACTCTTGATTAGATCTTATTGTGATGTGAGGCCTTCTTTCACCCCAGTCACAATTTCACTTGCAACTTGCCGGTATTAAGATAGAAGGTACAGGTTGTAACCTGGGAATTCGTAGTATTTCAGTTTGTCATCCGAAATTTTTGCTTTCATGATTGTGAAAATGTCTAAATCATAGGTTTGTGGCATTTCATGGACTTGGATCTTTGTGTTCTGTGACATCCCTCCAGCATTCCACTGAAGGGTCTGTAGACGTTGTGATTCGCCCTGACGAGGGCGATTTCTCTTCTATCTTTGTTTTAAGCTAATCATAATAAATCGAAGCCAAATCAAATGCCGAGTGATAGACTTTTTTGCAGTATGAAGATACGTTGTCCAGTGTGCACCACGTGGAGGTAAGTCTATCCCGCACCTCTCATCTCAGCATTGGCCATGCTGTCGAGGTTATGGTTTTCCCTCAGCGATATCTTTTTAGGAAATATCGGTGTAAAAAGTGCTTTAAGTTTTGGCATAAAGCAGACCGCTGATCCTGCTTCTCTCCCTTACTATACAAAATCGTTCATTGATAACATGAACAAAGACGAAATCGATAGTATGCTACAATTATAATGCCATTAACCCAATGCCTTCTCATCTAAATCTTTAATAAATAAAATGTTTATAACAAAAATAGTTGAGAAAGAATGATTTAATGATATTTGGGGCTAAATTTTAGCTAAATTTTTTACCCTATATGAAGTTTTAGTCATTGTAACATCATACTATAACTTTACTCAATGTAAGCAAAATAATATAATAAATGAAACTGAACAATTAAAAATTCACGAACTATTGAAGAGCGATCAAAAACTTAATCAAAATCTGTGGCTGTTCGCCCCATGAATAAGCCTTGACTTATCCTCAGCAATCTCTTTGGACAAATCCCCAAGTATGGAATAACTTCCGAAATTAGCTAATCTACATCAACAATATGGAGGAGACAGAGTGCTTGGTGTGAATACAATTTCGGCTGCTCTGACCATGCCATGACTATAGACCGTTGATTGGCTGAGAGGCCTATGCACTCGTGTCGCACATGCTCTCAAATGCAATCAATAACACAGTCCTACTTAATGGCTACGTGATCAGTATTACTTCGCCCATACCAGTGTTAGAGCACGCGTGAGAACCCTTGGTTCAGTTATATTAGCATGGTGTTCTTCACAATGCTCCCACAGGACGAAAACACGACTTAAGAAGCATGATAATGCTACTAAAGTGATCAAATAACCTTCCAGTTGTTAACTCGGCTCTCTTCCTCTACTTCTTCAATACATTTTAATGAATTTTAATAGCATTTCTGTTTGACCTAAGGCCTATCTATATTTAAAGGAGATAATGGGAAGGTACTCGCTATCAATACCAGTACTGCCATATCTTGAAATAGAGTGAACGCGGTAGTCAGTTGGGCATTTTGGCCTATTTAAATACGACTTCGTAATATGCCAAGAAGTCGATGAAATAAATATAAGGTAAGCAGAACAAGCATAAGTGATAAATTATCATACTCCCAAGGAGAAATAATTAGTCCTTTTAAAATAGCAGTTCCGCCTTTATGCAGCAGTGTATCTTAACCTTTACTTGTTCTTCTTTATTTTTTATATCTGAATATTTATTTTTGATTACTTTTGTTTGTCCAAGCAAACCTAGTCAATTAGATTCAGTTCAATTTGATTTTTCACTTAGACTTGGGTTCAAATCCGGGGATTAAAATTGCAGACAAAAGTTCGGATTTCATTCAGAATTAGAATTTCATAGAGTCCGTTTCGTACGGCCACTTTTGAGGGAAACTTATTTGGTTTGTTTAAATTCCTTCACCTTTTCTGTGAAATTTGGGCAGTATCAGAGGCTGTACCCATGACCCTCTATCGGCTCGGGAACCCATTTACACTTATTTCCACCATTGCTTGTGCTTAAAGTGTAAACGTACAGAGATTTCGAAACGTTCCCTAGTGTGACCTTCCAAGTCCTGTTTTTTCCTTTCCGAATTCTGTATTCATTTGACAACTTGTTTCATTATGGCCCAACATTTTCCTAAATCTGCACTGTTAGACCATAGTCTCAATTCCTCTGGAAAGCGAACTTGATGTTATAGAGTCAGATTGGACATTACTCGTTTCTCCTTTAATTGAATGAAGTTATTCTACTGCCACAAGCACAGTGGAAGTTCCTTACAAAAAAGGCGGAAAGTTTTCTAAGATATTCCAAACTTCATTAGTATTTTTATTTCCAAAAGAGATGACATAAGAACCAATATCTGTTCATTTTAAGTTGATCTCCTGATGGTAATAGCATCCAGGCAAATACACTTGTATAAGGACTTCAAAATCGAGCTGCTTTGCCATTTAGTTATACCAAATGGCAAGCTTTACGATAGTCATCATCAGCCCTTTAGTTGACTTCGGGCTTCACAGAGAGGAGAAACATCAAAGTGGCAAAAAGTGAAGAAGGGGAACAGAAGAGTGATTCACAGATGTAATAGAGACAGACACAAAGGTGGAGAAAAAGGTAAGGTGAGGTGAGTACTGTGGAAGTAGTCGAATATGACATACAGTGGGGTCATGGTGGTTTGAAATCAGAAGTTAACTCCCAGTTTGTTGACTTTCTCCATAGTTATATAGTTGCTCAAGGTGCACCATGTGAAGGTAATTCAATCGTACACCCCTGTTATATAATTAAGAGCACGATAACTTCAAAGCATTCATTTGTGTAATTACACAGACAGTTTGTGAGTTACAGGGAAAATGACGCGCTTATGGATATGAGTTCACATGTACTTTTAACTGAGACGAGAAATTGATAGAAAAGTAGAAACAATAGCGCCATACAAGCAAATATAGTCATAGGGACATAAATTTCAAAATCAAAGTATTTTCATGAACAACAATTTTGAAAATACATACAGAGTCATCCTTCAACATCATTAGAAAGAAAAAAATCCTGAGTTCTGCCTGACTGACTCAGAAATCTCTGCGGCAGATACTCCTACATTTAGCTAAACTCCTAGAACTAGATAAACTATAGTCCAGCTATAAAGAAAACAGACGTATAGCACGGAACACGTTTATTCAGTATGTATATTGTGGATAAAATGCACATGCAGGGAGCTTGATCATAATTAGCATGGCGGATTAGGTTAAACAAACGGAGGACTCTGATTGGCCACTGGTTGTCTACTAAGAGAGTTGTTCGGCCGCACCTCCCGATCCTGCATGCATCCTTTGCCAGACTGATGAATACTGTGGGCGGGTAGGTGGTGGAGCACTATTGACGTTGAGTGAATAGGGGTGTGCGATAGACTTAACTCCACGTGATGGACATT